TTTACATCAAACCTGAGGTGAGGCTTCATTTTTTTCATAAGCCCTAAAAAAAAATTCATCAAGAAATATTGCCTATTTACATCAAACCAGTAGACAAACAGAAATGGCGGCATCATTTTTATTAACGAGTGTGCAAATTGTTCTCTCACAGGAGTACACTGTCTCCTTACTCCGTCAGGCAAAAGAGCTATTTAAGAGGACTTTATTGAATTGAGAATTTGGAATCCACTTGTAAATCACCAAACGAACATTGTCGTATATACAAATGAATATTGAGTTGCAAAACACATAAATTTGACCATCCAAAGTTTAGAATATCTCTACTCAATCTTAGAATGTTTTCAAGCACACATATTGTTTGGATAGAAAGAACTTTATTTAAAATTGTTCATTTTCTGAAGGGTGTGGTTTCTGTAAGGTTGCAATCTTAAACAATTCAATTAAAGTGCACCATCAAATTTTGTCATAATATGTAATTTTGGAGTAAAACATCCTTAAGATTATCTTAAAATCTATTTTCATATCTAATTATAAAATTTTAAACTCCAAAAATGACTAAAATCAATATATCTATAAACATATAAAAATCTTGAAACTGGACGGTCCTATTTCTTGGACTCAAAATCTTTTTTTTTATTTTTTATATTCATTAATTTTATATTCATTTAGTTGGTCGAACTAGTTGGCCAGCTAGCAAAAATCGGTTAAATATTGGTGCTGATTAGGTTTTGATGAAACCCATTTTTTATCTTGGAATAGACTCGCTAACGTATCAGTAGGAGTTCAAATCAGTCAGACCACTTATTTGGCACAATCTTGATAACTACGACTAAAATACTCTAAAAGAGACCATCTCTTGGCTTTTATGAATTTCATTTTCTTCTCAATACACTTACAATCGAGCGTATTTAAAGTGAAAGAAAAGTATACAACATTTTATATTTGGTACATAGAGGTCACAATTAATCTTTACCACAGGATGTGAAATTGGGTGGCTGCATTTGTTCAATTGACTAGGCTCAAAATTTTTAAGAAAAAAAACACAAAAATTTCAAACTTTGTAACACACTTAAGCATACTGGTTTCAAATCAGATGGTTATAGTTAACCGTAACTTCTTTGTACCAAAGATAAATGGTCTCATAATACACAATCATTATAGTAAAACCCATTTATCTTTGCTGCAAAAATATCACAATAAACTTTAGTTGTCAAATGTGAACTATAATAATAAATGTTGTACCACCAACTGTGTTCGAATAAGAAAATTTTTCTTGAATTTGTGCAGAAAAATGACAACATGTAACTTACTAGTGACCTTTGTACATGAAAAGATAACAACCTCTCCTTTACAAATTTCCTTTTTTCCTATGTAATTACATGGTTTGGTGAGGCACACACCTTGTTTGTCCAAATCCGGAGCCAATTCTCTCTCTCTCTCTCTCTTTTGAATTAGTGTGCATTCAGGTTGCTTCTCTGGGCTCTTATAAATTGTCCTTTTGGAAGAACCTTGCTAACCATAAATAGACAGAGGATTAATTGAAGGGAGCGGTTTGTATAAGGCCGAGTTACACAATCAAAGTATGGCACACCTTTAAACAATGTCGAAAGATGTTTGAGTACTGAAAATCTTGATAATGTCTTTAAAATTCATTTTTAATTCTAATTAAAAAATTTAAAATTTTAAAATTAGTATAGATAGAGAAGATTTATAAACACTTCAAAATCTTGGAAATTGACAGTCTAGAAAATATATTGCAAGATGCACTATTGCCAAGACTTAAAATCTAATTTTCTCATATCCATACATCTTGAAGTCGTGATGATTGATTTGAAGGTTTTTGACCACCATAACCTCTTCTGGAGGTTATGGTAAATTTTTGATGTATGTTTTAATTTGATCGTATAAATTTTTTTCTCAATAGAATGCCGCTGGTCTAGATGGCTTTCACATGCACTTAATTTCATCAACCATGAAAAAAAAATACTCTTTTCACAGGTCACGGGACACGCATGTATATTGAGAAGGCTCTCCATTAAGCCCCTCACTCTCATATTTATTAATGTAGATTGGTTGGAAGGAGGCATGCTTGCCACCCACCTCTGTGTGAGAGAGAGATTTTCCTTCCCAACCTCTAGAGACCATTAATATTCCCTCACAATCTAGAGAGATAATTCAAGGTGGGACAGAGAGAGATGTGAGCGTTAAAATTGAGATAAAAAGGTACGTTATGAAAAGCAACAAAACGTAAAACAAGCATATCGGAAAACAAATAGTAGAGAAAGTATAAAAACGTATGTGATTTATCACTAATCTGATTATATTTACGAGTGAAGATGATTAATGGCTTTACTATTGTAAGAGAATTGACTTTGGGCAAGACTAGTCAAGGTGGTTGTAACTGTTGTGTGCGGAAGCTCTAAATCCGATGGGTTGATTTTTTTGTAAATAAAGTATGATAAATAAAATATGATACATATCACAAGAACATAAATGTTTACATGGTTCACCCCAGAAGGACTACATCTACGGGTACAACAAACATAAATCCGCTATACCAATGAGAGTCACATCAAAGATTTTGGGACATTGAATTACCTCTTTAAGCCTCGACAAAAACCCAAGTCGAGCAACCACTCTCCCTTCCTTCTCTTTACCAATGAGAACCATTACCGACAATACCAGATAGTGACGCGAGAGTATTGAAAAACTGATTTCTTCTCTGGCTAAAAGTGAAACAATCCAAAATCTCTATAAGAACCACTTCTCTACAAGAAACAAGCCTTTTCTATCTTCAACAGACACCACCAATGTTTCTCTTCATATGAAGCTTTCATCTCTAGGAGAACATTGCATCTTATGCATAGCAGGCTGTGTTTCCCTCTCTCTTGAGGAGAACTACCATTCTCATATAGAACCCAAATAGGGCCCACAAATTTTTTGCACTTTTATCCTATATATATATAAGGTTAAGAATCCACACCAAACATAAAACTTTCTATTGATGTTACAAATCCCAAAACCAAGAGATATATCCAAGAGTTCTAATATTTTTGGATTTCTATTTCTTTTAAGAAACTTATCAATATCAATATTAATCTCACATAATATGGGATTTCCTTGTGTGGGTGATTTTGGATAGCACTAAATCCAATAATCTCCATTTTAATAACAAAATCACTTGCTTACCATGCCCAACATCCATTAGATAACTTCATAAATTCTTCATATTTTGCCAAATAAATTTCTTCATAATTCTTGCTGAAAAATAGTTTTTGCCATCAAATTTTTCCACCTCAAACTTTGCATTCAAAATCTTTATTGCCATACCGAAAACCCCAAATCAGGCTCTGATACCACTTGTTGTGTGCATAAGCTCTAAACTCGATGGGTCGATTTTTGACAAATAACGTACGAGAAATAAAACATGACACATACCACAATAACACAAAGAATTACGTGGTTCACCCTAGAAGGGTTACATCCACGGGCAGGGCAAACAAAAATCTACTATACCAATGAAAGTTACATCAAAGATTTTGAGACATAGAGTTATCTCTTTAAACCTCGACAAAAACCTAAGTCGAGCAAACTCTTTTAAACCATTTTCCCTTCATTATCTTTACTTGTGGCAACTATTACCGACAACACCAAATAAAGACGCGAGAGCAACAAGAACTTGACTTTCTTTCTAACTAAAAGGGAAACAACCATTCCCATATAGTGACCCAAATAAAACACCCAAATTCTATGTACTTTCATCCCATATATATAAAGTTAAGAATCCACACGAATAGAAAACTTATGTAGTTATTATAAATCTCAAAACCAAGACATATATCTCAGGGTTCTAATCCTTCTAGATTTCTATTTCACTTTGGCAACTTTGTAAGGTTAAAATGGACTTTCTTCTAACCCCTAAATAATCCAAAAAACATATCCGCTTGTTGGGAAAGGGACAAGTGTGGCAGCCGCCCCACACCCTAGTCACCATGAAGCCATATTTTTTAATTTAAAAAAAAAAAATTCACTTGTTATTATATTTTTAAATTTTGAAACTATCTCCTCCAAACCAGCTAATTGGTTCCAATAAAAATAAAAAATCAGAGGTTAAAAATGAGGTTACACTGTAGAATTCAAGATTTAATAGAGCACATAATATTCAGGAGACAAAGCTCATTAGTGGGCGAAACGTGCAAGATAGCGAGACAATTCAATAATGTGGGAGAGAGAGTGTTCATTGATGTTTGGAGGGAGAGAGAGCTCATTGTTATGGGCAAAACCTAGAGAGAGAGAGAGATCATTGTTGTAGGCAAAACCTAGAGAGAGAGAGAGAAATAATTGGGCAAAACTTAATAATCCATAAACGACGCGCACACACGCTGAGGAGAGAGAATTCATTGCTCTGCAAAAACCTTTAAAGACTTCAATAAACAAATAAAGATGACTCAGGGCATGACTTTATGCCAAGTATTTTAGAATTTCGGCTGATTATTTATGTATGGTGCAATTAAAGAAGGGAAAACAATTTGTACATAGAAGTCAGTACTGGAAGTCGTCTGATTGTGAGGCAGTAAGAAGCACACAGCAATGAACTATATCTAATGGATCTTGTTCAAGATAATGAGAAAACAACACATCAAAATTTCTATTTCTGGAGAAATAATAAGCAAAATGTTTGAATCTTTTGTAAGCGATACAGTTCTGTGTGTGTGATCTTACACAGGATAAAGAGAAAACACCATATCAGAATTTCCATTTCTAGAGAGAGAATAAGGACAAGGGTTGAATGTTTTGCAAGCAATCTCTCTCTCTCTCTCTCTCTCTCATCTATTAACAAAGTGAAAAAAGTGAGACCGATCAGAAGATA